CCCGGTATGTTGTCCCAGCGGCTTTCCCACGGGTGATTTGGCCCATCACGGGCCGCTTCCCGGGAAAATGCCCCGCCGCCCTCTGACGGCAAGGACTCTCTCTGGCTTGGGACGGCAGCACCGCCGCCCCTACTGGCATCGCCCGCCACGGCGTCGCCAGGCTCCTTCCTCTTCAACTCCATCACTACGCTCATCAGCTGCGATAACTGGCCCTCCAGCCTCGCAATCGCCGGGTCCTCGGCGTGTTGCTGTTGCGTGGCTGAGGTCTCTTCCCCCAGCCCTTCGACCGAACCGCTGTCCGACGCAGCCATCACCCGATGCGGCTATCCCTCGACGGACAAACTCTAGAGTGTTTGGAGGAAGTACTCCGCGTACTTACCGGGTATTGTTTGTGTAGTGTATTAACTTTAGATGGTGAGGCAACGCCCGTACCCAGGGCGCTGTCGTGCTCAGAAAGGAGGAGTGGCAGCAGGGCTGCTGCACACAACAATAGGGGGCCCCGGTGCATCATCACCGTACCCCTACCTAAAAGGTTCTACACCATCTGCGTAACACTTGTACGTACGGCTAACATATCGAAACCATGTCCGTACACCCACGAACACCCGCTAGATGCTCTTGGCACCTTGGATGGTAGATGGCACCGCCCAAACCCAAGCAACCCTATTTATCTTGCTTGGGGAGAAGAAGAGCGTGGGGAACGGCGCGCGCGAGTCTTTCGGCCAATCAGCGGCGGGCCAGCGGCGGACCGTTCCTACGTCATGCCGACAAAAAATCTGAGCCTCTTTTCGGATCTTTTTCACGCCAATTTTTGTCAGGGCAATTTTGTCTGGGCATTTTGTCTGGGCAAAACCACACATATTTCCGAAACTCCGCAATGCTCGTTCCAAAGGAGATAATCTATTGTTTAGGAGTACACTGGTTCCGGTTGAAGGTCTCTCATTGGCCGCCCATGGGCTTCCCATGGGTTGGCATGCCCATTGGGGCAACGATGGGTCAACCATGGGCAACAAAGTGCCCATGGGCTGCCCATGCGTGTCCCATGGGCGTTTTTTGCAAAACTGTAGAAAGTGTGGGAGACCCGATTCACGCTCCCTTCAAGCATCTCCGTGTCAGCAAAATCGTGTCCACCGCACCCTGAGAGGAGACCTACAGCAGTACAGCAATTCGTCTGCATGCATTACATGTAGCGCAGCAGTATTCTTGTGTTTGCTGCCGAATATCGAGTAGAACACGCATTCCAAACAAACGTGACAACTCCCTCAAGAAGCACACACCCGAAGTGCATGCAATGAGGCAACCCAAACGGAGAACGACGGAATAATAGCATGGCGATACTCATCACGACGCGCGGCTTTTCCCTTTGCGACTGTATCCGCTGTCCGACCTGACGCCTCATCATGCCTGTGGCGCCCGAAGTCTGGCACCCTCTTGTCGACAATATCTACGGTACATGCAAACCCACGACATCTATCCCCATTCAACAGGGTTTGACTTACGGGCAGGAACGGCAACACGTTGCAAGCCCGACTCGGCATGCGTGCACCAATAATATTTTCCAACACGGTAGCCCAAAAAGAACCTGAGACTTGCCCACCCATCGTCTGCTTGGCCGCGTGGTCGTGGCTTGCTAATACAAATGCGGCCCGCAGTTAAGAAAAAATCCGTTAAGAACAAAAGGCTCAAATTTTTGCGCAAAGTAAGAAAAAAGGCCTAAGAAACACAACTCAATCTCGAGGCTACAAGATAAGAAACGTCCCAATAAGAAACGTGGTCGTGCGATATCCCAAGACAAAATAATCAAGGGCTAGAAGCTGGGGGAGCGTGTCCTAAGAAACGTCCCACTGCTGCTGCTGCTGCTGCCATGCTCCCACCCCCTACCTAGCTCATGTCAGAACTGTTTTGGTAGGGGCAGAGAATGGATGGTTATTTTCGCGCAACCCGCCGCGCCCCATCAGCGCCGCCGCGGGCTGCGCTACCCACTGCTGCCGAGCTTTTGTACTGCCGCAACCCCCAATGTTCGCCACACTAAGCTGTCGGTTTAGTGCTGCATGAAGGCTTGGTGTGCTGTTTTGTGTTCTTCGCCATCAGAATTAAGAAAATAAGAGAATCAGCAGGATGCGACAGCCCAAAGCAATAAGAAATCCGTTTTAAGAAATTGGCCGACTTCGGCTGGCCCTTCTGCCCAGAATAAGAAATTGAGGCTCGACCCGATTTTGACTTTTCTTATCTCCGGGCCGCATTTGTAATAGTTTTTTTTTGCGGCCGCCCGGGGTGCTTTTGCAAGAAAATGCTTATTTAGAGGGATCGTGTGCCTGATGTGTATGCGCGAAAAAACGGAACAATTTGGTGCCTAGCGGGCCAAAAACGAGGCCATGGGTGTTTGTCCGTGGCCAGGTTGCGATAAATACGCAGCAGACTGGAGCCCATTTCACCATCTAGGCACCAAATTGCAATCTAAGGCTAGCGCACAATCAGTGATATTTTGCCCGAGCTGTCCCAACTGCTACCTTTTCATTCCGTGGTCGGTGCGTCGAGATAGCACAGCATCTGTGCAGAATATACATGTCGCATTCAGGCGTCCCCGACTTTGACGAGGAGGCTTATTTGGGACAAGACGTACGTAGGCATAGATAGGTTCACGCAAAAGACAGCAGCATCAGAATCACCCGGAGCCAGACATGGTCAAAGGACGGGGAGGAGGGAGACACGCACCACAGCGAGAGTTTGGGCGAGAGTGAGACGGGGGTGTGCCCTACACTACTGCTGTTAGGTATCGGGGCAGAAGAGCGAGAGGAGAGATGCATACATACACGTTTTAGTTGTTCTTGTTGTTGTTGGTCTGTCGGTTGTTTTGTTGCAGCCAGCGGGCTGTGGGACGTAGGCTGACACGCGAGACACCACGGAGCCATATGGAGAAAGGGGGAGGGACACACACACCACAGCGACGGCGAGGCGGCAGGAGAAGCAGGGTGTGACCTACACTACACTGCTGCTGTGAGCTGTCTATCGGCGGAGGAAGCGAGAGGAGAAATGCGCGTTTCGTTGGGTCTCTCTCGGTCGGTCACCGCTTCTTGTTTTTTGCAGCGAGCGGCGGCACTTGGCGGCAGGCAGCGCCAGGCGAAACTTTTGGTGGTGTTCCATATTTTAGCGTAGAGCTTTTTATGCACGATGCGCCTCTGAACACAAAGGTCGCCACGCCCATCAACTTTGAAGTGTGTCCCATGCTAACTACCGCCCTCGCCAGGTCACGGTACAATCCAGCATGACACGGCGACGTTTGTCCATAAATCTCGATGCTGTCATGTGTGTATGCTTGTCTCACTACACAACAACGTTTTTCACTTCTTTCCTGCGGCCCGCATTTGGATCTTGTGGGCCGCGTTGCCGTGCGGAGTGTGCGGGCTGCATGTATTTGAGGTACGGGCCGTATTTATGAGGTGCGGGCCGCATTCATGATGATGATTATGAACACCACCCCCCCTCTCCTTCGTCCCCGGTGTTTGCCATCGGGGTTGGGTTTTCGTCGCTTGGCAACGACGTTGTAAAACAAGCCCCCCCCTCGGTGTTTGCCCCCTCCGATGTTTGCCATCGGGGTTGGGTTTTCGTCGCTTGGCAACGACGTTGTAAAACATGCCGCCCCCCCCGGTGTTTGTCATCGGGGTTGGGTTTTCGTCGCTTGGCAACGACGTTGTAAAACAAGGCCCCCACTCGGTGTTTGCCATCGGGATTGGGTTTTCGTCGCTTGGCAACGACGTTGTAAAACAAGCCAATTCACTTCGTGAACTCGGCAACCAGGTTACCGTTTTTTTTTTTTACCTCGGTTTTTTTTTTTGGCGGTAACCATAATGGTGGTCGAGTAGATCATGTTGTGCGGGGTCGAGAAACCTCACTCCGCGCAACGGGGGATGATCGTACCACGTTGTGTTAAAATGGTCAAGCTTCCTCGAGGCAGTTACACAGTGCTTACAACTGTCTCTGGAAGTGCAAGCACCAGAAAATAAATTAAGTCATACGTAGCTGTCATCCGTACGCAAGGAAGTAAGCACAAGATGCCGAACACCCTTAGCAGGATGCAGCTCACCCTTCATGCGACTCGCCAAATACCTCACGGCGCTTCGCGCTTGGTGATGTGAGAGCCTGGTCCGGTGAGAACCCGGCGTGCTCCGTCCCGGCTTTGTAGGGATGCGAGGTCAATGGTCAAACGACTACGGCATGCACGACTATGAGTACACCCCCCCCCCCCCCCCCCCTCGGTGTTTGCCATCGGGATTGGGTTTTCGTCGCTTGGCAACGACGTTGTAAAACAAGCCCCCCCCTCGGTGTTTGCCATCGGGACTGGGTTTTCGTCGCTTGGCAACGACGTTGTAAAACAAGTCAATTCACTTCGTGCACTCGGCAACCAGGTTACCGTTTTTATTTTTACCTCTGTTTTTTTTTGCGGTAACCATAATGGTGGTCGAGTATATCATGTTGTGCGGGGTGGAGAACCCTCACTCCGCGCAAGGGGGATGATCGCACCACGTTGTGGTAAAACGGTCAAGCATCCTCGAGGCAGTTACACAGTGCTTACAACTGTCTCTGGAAGTGAAGCACCAGAAAATAAATTAAGTCATACGCAGCTGTCATCCGTACGCAAGGAAGTAAGCACAAGATGCCGAACACCCTTAGCAGGATGCAACTCACCCTTCATGCGACTCGCCAAATACCTCACGGCGCTTCGGGCTTGGTGATGTGAGAGCCTGGTCCGATGAGAACCCGGCGTGCTCCGTCCGGTTTTGTAGGGATGCGAGGTCAATGGTCTAACGACTACGGCATGCACGACTATGAGTACACTCCCCCTCTCTGTATTATATGACGCCCCCACAACTCAACACTGCTGCTGCTGTGTGGTAAATGAGTCAATGGTCACAACGCATCTAACAACAACGCACGAGCCTACTGCAGGTACTTTTTTTTACTCTGAAATAATAAAAAACTGTCACGCCCCTCTCTTGTAGGAACTCGATGACGGAGAAAAGTCCCGTTCGGCAAAGCACAGATGGATCCGCCTCTTTGTGCGGGTATTTTTCGTGTACGTGGTGTTCGCGACGTTCGCCGGACTAGAGTCAGTGATTCGGAGGAGTTCAATGGTCTTCACGGCGAAGGTAAGGACATGAATAGATTTCGTTCAACACTTCGAACGGGGTCGAGCTATCCACAGATCGCTCATCGTGAAGCGAGCCACAGCTTGATGCACCATGCCTTGCGACCCCATGTTGTCCATCGGAGATTATATCCGGCGTTTTGGACGTAGGCCACACACCACTCCTCCGGCTGTACGGCCACGCTGCTTTTACCTATCGGTCTCTTGCTACTTGCATGTCGACGTAGCCGGCTGCAGGGCAAGCGAGGAGGTGGAGCCATGAAGAAGCGACAAGAAGAGTGGTGCAACAGCACATGGCGACACGAGGGAGAAGCGCTTTGGAAAAAGCGAGTGTGAAAATGCCGACGAAGGAGGCCGCAGAAACAACGAGTTTCAGCAGTGAGAGCGAAGATGTGAAGGCACGGGCTAGAAGAGCTGCGGCAAGAGAGAGGCGCAGGAAAGAGAATGCGTTTCAAAGGGACGCGGACACTTGAGGGGCTAGACATACTTATCTCGAAACCTCTGCCAGACATACATAGGCTTTAGCTAAAATTAAGAGTGACAACGGTCAGAGCTGCTCGGCCAGGCCCATTGAAAAATCGCGTTCTGTTTGGTACCCCCGATGCAATTCCACGCCGGGCTGTTCATCTATGAACCAAACACGAACGGATTAGGAAACGGATGAGAGGACCGTAACAGGTTAACCCGCGTGGTGTTTTGAGTCGGGTATATACCAGCGACCGTACAGTACATTCATTGGGTGAACATACGTGGACACCGTCACAGATTGTCCTCCGTTGATCTAATGCGCTCTTTGCGGGTGTTTCACCAGGTCCCATGTTGGGTGATGCAATTATTCCTTGAGACGCGTATATACTGATAGGAGATACTGTCAAGGGAGTTATGAGGCAGCCGGAGTAGGGCACGATGTTTGGGGCAGTAGCAGTCAAACGGAAACGCGTCCTACAAAGAGTTGTATCATGGTGAAAAAATGTCGACAAGTCTTTCTTATTTACACTCTTGAATGAGTTACGAAGACAAACCGACTGGATCCATCCGCTGCGCGACCGTGTCGCCGAACTGTGCGCCTGTCCCTACCAACCTGTCATGAACGATTCACACTCCACCCGATCCAGCAACAACGTTGGACGGTTCCTTCTCTCCCATCGCTCTTCCGGCAAAGGTGGTGGTTAGCGTAAGGTAACGTCTCTCAGCACGAACGATCGCTGCGAATATCGCCGCGCCGCGGTAGAGCACGAAGAACCGACGAGAAACTGTACATCCTTTGGTGTGGGGCTTGTACACTTGTCTATCCTAAAATCCACATGTAAGATCGTTTTTGCGGTTGCACCTGTTGCACTAGATGTTTCTTTGGCGGCGTTTGGATCGCTCCTGGAATACGAATCCAAGAACTCTTTGACGGCAGCCTCGGAGCAGACACTGCAAAGACTCCAGCACATCCGCTTCGACTGTGGTATTACCTTGAAATAGGGTTGGTCTTGCTTAAGTAGTGTGTACATTTTCGAAGCCATTCCAACGCGGGAGAGAGTTGGCCGAAACTAACGCACAGGCGCGTTGCAGAGGGCACAGACCGTAGGTGACTCAAGATGCCACACACCCGGGACAGACTTCCAAAGCTCGACAAACACTCCACAGCAGAAACAGCGGTGGTGCCGACAATGGCGGCGTTGGAACCGCCTCGACGCTTTCCGGAAAAACGTCACACCATTTTGCGGTTTTGGGCACACTTCTCGTGGAAATCATTCCAGGGGAAGTGGTATCTTGTGCCAACGGCGATACCAAACCCTGCATTATTTCGGACATAGTCTACATTACAAGCTTCCGGGTCCATGGAATTTGTATCAACTTCCATGGAAGCCGCTTAACCGGCGCCAGCTTCAATGCGGCTTCCGTGGCAGTTGCGGCAACTTCGGGTTAGGGTTGGATTTGGGTGGTTGCTTCCATGGAAACGGCATCTTCAACTTCAAAAGGGCAAAGAGCTTTTTCATGGAAGGAAGTCATGACTTCCATGAAAGTGCGTCCATCGAAGATTTTCCCGAAACTGAAAGGTAATTGTCATGGAAGCACGCCAACTTCCAGGAAAGGAACTTCCACGGAAGCGTTTGTCAGGTCTGGCAGGCAACCTCCATTGAAGCTTGAAAAACTTCCATGAAAGTAGCTAACCCTTAACCATAACCCGACTAACCCTGACCCAAACCCAATGTTAATGTTGTCGCTCAATGTTATCCTCAAGCTGGACTCGTTTGATGTGCCTCCATGAGACTTGTGCCATGAAGGTTCCAAATCTTGCTTCCATGGAAGCCAAAACTTCGATTTCCATCAAAGCCGTCCGAAGCTGGTCGACTGGCATGAAAGTTGGTTGGATTGAATACCATGGAAGCTCACCAAGCCACTTCCATGGAACCTGGTCAAACTCCACTAGCTTCGATGGAGATAAAGCTTCCATGGAGGCCGCTCGTGAAACGCCCCTACTCCTACTTCCGCGGAGATTCCCAAAACTTGCATCGGAAGTCACTTGGCGAGCTTCCGCGGAAGTCAAATTCAACCACCCTTTGATGGAGGTGGCACTGACTTCCATGGAAGTGATTCTACTCTCATGGAACCTACACATATTTGTCCAATAATGTAGGAGATAGCACCAAGAGGTACCGTAAGCACCTACAAGACCTGGGTCTGCCTTTCGGAAGTCTCGTCAAGCCATGTTTTATAATTCACCTTCCGGAGTCGCAATTTTTTCAACCGTAACAGGAACAATGGCAGCAGAGCAAACCGCAGATGGCGCAGATCGTAGCTTCCAAGGCTGTCGAAACGCCAACTCAAGACAATCAAAACCACACGTCGTCTCAACAAAAAAAACGAGGTACTCAGCAATAGAAAGCGCCTGCACTTAACAACCTCTAGTTTGGCCGAGGCTTGGGGTTCTTAGTTCCTCCCCTGGGCCACAAATGACCACCATATTGATTATTAGTGAAAGGGCTCACAAACGGCGCTCAACTTCGTCTTTTCGAGACTAAATTTCTAACTGCCAGTTCTTCATCGCGGGCGCTAAATGTAGCCCGCCAAAGCGCCCACCACTTCTTCCACAACAAGCCATCAAACATACGTAGAGTGTTTTCAAAAACAGGATATGTCGGCAGGCGAACGGCCAGCAGGACACCCCCAACCCCTGACCAGCTCGTCGTCCTTCCAACAGTCTCGCCGACAAACGCCAGACACCGCATGCAAAACTGGCCTCCGCTTCTTCCCGACGCGCTGCATTTCGCACAACTACATTGACGGTGTATACACACGCAAAAGAACGACCACCTTGCAACAAACACCCCGAGCCACCCCCTCCCCTTGCGACGACGATGAGTTCATCTACCTGGTATGATTCCAATATTTCAACGGAGTTTACTCTTGTATTGTTGGCTTCATTCCCGACTGCGTATTGAAAGTATGGGGTTTGTTTCGATGAGGTCTGTGCTCCTGCCTCGATCAAAAGAACCGGGATTTCACACATCCAACGATACATGCCCCAAGCCCCAGTCTAACAGATACTTGTCACCAACATGACTCCCACGCATTTTACCCAGCCATCAACTGAAGGCAAGCAACGCAGACGGAAGGCGGCGGGCAACCTACTGTATATGGCCATCCTCTTGTGCGACCCCGGCTGTGCCGCGTCCAGGAATCGTACCGAAATGAGAAACACGCGCCCAGAAAAAAAATGGCGGCGAAAAAACAAGAAAGGGGGGCGCCTTCGCGAGGATGGTATGTTTATCTGTGAAATAGGGGCTTCGCTTCTCTACCCGAAACCCAAACCCAAATTCGTAAATCTTACAGATACAACGCAGTCGTATCCTCGCGAAGGCCACTGAAAAAGGGTCAGCACCCCGGAGGTGAGTACGACCAAACTCGGACAAGCTCGTCGTCCCCTCCGGTCGCTAAAACGCCTCCTCCCGAGGGTTTCCACCTGACACAGTTCACGTCCCCGGCGTGCGCGTTCTTCACCTGCAGAGTGATCACAAAGATAGAGAGAAAAAAAAGGAAGAGAGAAAGAAAGAGAGAAGAAAAAAAAAAAAACGAGCAACGTGTCTTGTGGGTTATATTCACGTCCCGGGCGAGCGTGTTCTTCAACTGCGGAGTTATCACAAAGCGAGGGAAAACTGAGACATGAAAGAAAAAAAAAGACAGTAAAAGGGTTCTGTGGGTTAGGGCCAAGAAGTCGACCTGAGGTCACCATGGCCTATAGAAGCCAAAAGGAAAAAAAAAATTGAAAGACAGGCTCATTTGTTCGCACGGCTGAAAAGGACGCAATAGCCGTGCTCAACACATGGGGCAAACATGGCAATACTCGTGGACTGCTATTTTCCAAGCATGCAAAGTTGTCGAACTCCGACAAGGTACGATGGGCGGAAGAAAGCGAAACCTGGGAAGATCGGGTCTGCCTTCGCCCACCACACTCATGACGCAAAATACTGCAAGCGGCAGTCGAACGTCGCGTTATCGTGTCATCGAGGGCTCAAAACCAAGCCAGGGAGAGTGAGAGGGGGATAGAACAATGTCAGCGGCGGCGGTCAAGCCACGACGGTTGATCATAGGGTTGCCTAGGCCAGGCCCGACTGAAACAACGGCAACCTGCACAGCAACTGGTAAACCGTTGGGGCGCGGTGTACACACTATTCGGACGCATGAAAAATTGATGCTTCCGCTTCACACAACCCCTTACCCCTCCCCCTGCTCTCTGGCTCACCCAGGAAGCCCGTAGCAAAGTGGTTGTTGGAGTCCACTCCAGCACGCGAATGGGCTCACAACCACCAATGCAAAACTAAGCGCCGTGACAAGCATCAAGACCGCCAGTACCAGCATGTGACGAGCCCCAAAACTACTATTACCACCAAAACCAGCACCTGACAAGCCTCAAAAAGCTACCAATACGTAAAAACCAAGCCTCGCAACCACAACTACAAATACCAGCACGTGACTAGCCTCAACGCTACCAATGCACAACACCAGCACGTGACGAGCCAAAAAAACAACAACAACTACGACAACAACAACAACCCGCGAATACCAACTACCACACCCACCTCAACGTCGAGCCCGAAGGCCGCGCCGTCCCCCTCCCCGCTCTCGTAGAATACCCTCAGCGCGTCGTCTCCCGCGGCGGTCGCCAGGCACGGGGCCCCCAGCCCACCCCACACCCCGTCCCCCACCCCCCCTCCGCTTCTTCTCGCGGATGTCGACGCGGCTGCGGTGGCGGCCGCGGCGGCGTCTGTCGCCGTGGGGGCCCAGTCGACGCTGTAGATGGTACCGCCGTGTTCTCCCGACAGCGTGGACTCAGCGCGCCACTTACCGTGCCTTTGTTGTTGTCGATTTCGTTTTTCCCACGAAAAAACAAAGAACGTGCGGGTTGTCGGGTTCGGATTCGATGAGGTGTGCGTCGGGGGATACACCGACGAAAGAAAGCAAAGTGCACGTGTCTGTCTGTCACTCTGTTGGATAAGCTACGCTGAATCTGGGAGTGCATTTTCTAAATTCACTGTTTCGTCGGGTGCTCGGTGTCTATCAAAGCGTGTGCTCTGTTGTGTTATTTTCTCGATGTCAAGGAAGGAGGTTTTTCAGGAGGGTGATGTATGAACTCAGGTGTGTTTTTGTGCGCGTGGGCCTGGTGCTCCCCATCCTCAGCGACCACAGATGTCGTATCCAGGTCGCACAGAAGACACCATACCCCCTGGACCGAATTTCAAAAGCTCCACAAATCTGCAATAATAAAAAAAAAAGCGTCGGCGTGCCGTAAAATGGCGTCGCCGGAACCACCTCGTCGTCGAAGAACGATTTCCGAAAACGTACAGCTGTACGAGGCGTGCCTCCGGAGCGGGCTCTCGGCTCATCAGAGCATAGTTGGTAGTAGGGCCATCAAGGAGTGACGCAAGAAGAAAGCAAAGCTGCCAGCTGCTATGCATACCATGAACGTTTCCCAAGCTCGAACGGCTCACACAGCTGACGTGCTCTTGAGTCAAAGAGCCCAGCGAACCTCAACGAAACTACAACACAATATATTTTACAAATCTGTGTACAGCCTTTTCCAACCGTGTGGTGTTAGTATACAGCCATGTTCAACCGTTTGGTGTTAAATTTTACAAATCTGTGTACAGCCTTATCCAACCGCTTGGTGCCATATTCAACCGTTTGGTGTTATTATAGCATCCTCTTCGACGTGGAGCCTTTCTCGCTTCGAATTTTCGGTCTAGGGGGTGCGCGTCTCACGCGACCTGCGTACGGAAAAATCTCCCCGCGGATAACTTTGACTACTCTGCGGGCGACGGCAGCCTAAAGCCCCGCTCCAGCGGCAAAGCGAGGTGGAAACATCTGCATACGGGTGTCTTCTGTATATGAGTGGTGGCAGTAGCGAGCCATGTGCGGGTGCAAACTCCTCGTCTTCTGGACGCTGCAGGCTCTTCGTCTTGTGGAAGCTGCCGCATACGCGAAGCACGCTTCCAACGAACGCACTTCCCGCTGTCCGTCTCCACACTATGTTGTTGGCTCGCCGTTTCGTCGTAAAATAAAATTGAGAACCAAGCCCTATTGTACGGGGCGACCGTGCAACATAGAGAGCGCCCGTACACAAAAACAACCTCTAGGTTTGGCAGAGGCTGGGGTTCTCGATTCCGCATGTGGGCTACAAATAGCCGCTGTGTAGGTTTTTTCATCAGGGGCTCTTGGCCGGGCTGACAAAAACATCTCAGGTTCTCCTGGGTTGAGAAAACGCTCGGCCGCAGACTCTCCTGCCCCATGGATCGATATTCACAGCTCCATTACGCCACTACCAAGAGGATGCATAACTCAGACGAGACATTTTCGGACAAGATGGTTCCAACGCGTCGCTATTTTCCGACACCACCCTTTATGGTGCGGAGAAAGTCGAACTTTGAAAATCATTTTGAAAATCAGACCAGGGGTGTGGTATTTTTCGTCGCCTACCGTAGTTCCTCGATACGACTGCAGGCTCTCCTCGAATTCTCGGAGCCGCTGTTGGAAAAAAAACACACACACACACACACACACACACACGCACGCACGTTGTTCTCTTTTGCATGTTTGTCCCGGGGTTTCTACCCGGCATCATCTCACGTTTTTTTCGCGAAAAATTGGAACAGTATACCTCGGGGCCCGACCGTACCATAAATAAAAGTATTTTAGTAACTCCTCTCTCGCACTCGGGTTCGACTTGAAAGCTTCTTGCTTGCCACAGGGGCCGTTTCGTAGCAACACGTTTCCAGACGAAATCGCTCACATTGCCAGAGCGCTGCTATCAGCGTGTGGAGGGGAAAATTGAAAGCGCGGCAGCACCAGACTAGGAAGCCGCTGGAACATACATAGGACGCAAACCATTACAACAGCTCCCCTAAGTACAACATAACCATCGTTCATTAGAAAGATTCATTGGGAGCCCACTTGGAAAAGTCTCTTGGGCGCTCAGAGCGCTCCATTTCGGCTCTCTCTCTCTCTTGGCCTCTCACATGGTTCAATTTTTATCATATTTTGTTTCTTCCCGCTTTTTTTTCGTTTTGCCGCTTTTTTCATCTGTGGCTCGCTCGCTCGCTCGCTCGCTCAAGGAACGATCTCGCCCTTTCCTCCCCTCTCCATCTACTGCAACACGGAACCGTTCTCCCTTTCCTCTCCTCTCCATCCACGACGCATCATATTTGCTATGCCAGTCTCTTCTGTCTCTGCTCTCACCCACGAGTCTGTCTCTCTGCTCTCGCATATCGTGCTCTCACATGTTCGAATGATCTGTTCCGGGTCATCGGTACTTCGGACATTCAAACATTCCGTTATCCCATTTCTTCAGGCCAGCTCATTCTGCGTCTGCCTCGCTCGCCTCTGGGTCGCTTGCTATCGGAACCTTTCGCCCTTTACCTCTGCTCCCCATCCACCACGCTCTGTCTCTCTCTCTCTCTCTCTCTCTCTCTCTCTCTCTCTCTCTCTCTCTCTCTCTCTATCTCTATCTATCAATCTATCTCAGCTCTCACACATCAGTCAGTCTCAAAACATAAAATTATGCAATGAATCAATTATTCATTGTTGTTCCCCCTTGATATTGTTCGGTGTCAAAATCCGTGTGCGTATATCTGTCATCAATGATGCAGCTGCACGAGCCTGTTGGCCTTTGTTCGTTCATCTACTTTTTATTGTTCAATATTTTGTCGGATGAGACACGAATCGAGTACACCCTCTCTCTTCCTGCACCGATCCATTTGTATCATAGGGTACATAGAATTTTCAATGAATTGTACCACTTATCGCGTATCTTGAAAATCGATCTATTGAACGGGGCGGCGAAAGCCGCCAGACCCATTGAAAATATACCTGGTAGGTAAGCGGTTACAGTAGAACCCGGCATTGGTCGTTGCTGCAGCAGTGCCTACTCCCAGTGCCTACGTTTTGCGTCAAACTAGACTGAAAATGTCCGGGTGGTGGTGTCTTATCAAAGCGCCCTTCTCGCGATTTGCGTTCATGTTGAAGGGGGTTGCCAAATTTTCCAAAGAAAGAGGGCTAATATCGTCCGCTCGCAACATTGGCTCTTTATTCGAGTCACATCGCTGGGAAACGATGCACAATATTTTTCAGCCTTGGTTTTCTACCAATACACAAGAAGATATTTTCGAGTCCGTTCTTCTCATAAATGAATGGAATCAAGCAGACAGTTTGCACCACTCCCGTCCCGAACAGTTGGCTGGTGTCTCCACTTTCCTCCCTTGTTGTACTTCGAAGCCCCTTGTTTTTTGTAGGTTTGACACCCCGGGAGGGCTTTCGTGAGACATCACATACTACCTCGAAGTACTTCTTTTGGAGGGGTGGGGTACCTCTTCTGGAGGGGTGGATGTGTTGCCGCAGTCGCAGGCGAACAAAAAAAAAAAACTCACTTGGTCTCGTCTGGGAAATTTCTCCACAGGACAAGCTTTTCGTCCCCTCCCACCGTCGCCAGACGCTCCCCCGGGCCGTCCGCCGCGATTCCCCACACCTGATTGGTCAAAAGAGGTGTAAATAGGATAAGTCTCACTTTCTGATGGATCGAGGTTTTGTGCTCGGATGCCATGATGATCACACAGTGGGATATCGGTCAAACTCTCTGATCAGTCGATTCGAGGTAGGGTGACAGAATTGGTCAAAAAGAGTTCGGATCGTCTCATTCTGAATTGGTTGGGTGAATTGGTCCAGTGGTTTGGACCGGTGGGCCCCCCTGATTCGTGGATTTGTTCTTGGGTGGATGATCTAAAACGTAGGACATCGGTCCAATTCTCTGGTTGGTTCGGATGATTTGGTCGACAGTTGGATCGTGTTCTTGAACTTCTAGACAATAAAACACAGAAAGACTACCCGTTCGAGATATAACCACATTCGAAAGGGATGTGCTGAAGGCTTTGCAGGGAGTGGAGGGAAACCCGCCCAAACTGGGCTTACTTTTAGTCTGTATCAGCTTATAAACTGATATAAACCAGTGATACCAGCTGGTGCTTGGAACAAAAGCAAAAAAAACTATACGTCCCTCAAATTGTTGACGAGTGCGAGTGCATCGGTCTAGAAGTGGGATCGGCGGAGTTCTGGCTATTTCAATTCGTTTCGAGCGAACTGTTAAAAATGTGGGATCGGCCGACCTATCTGATGGTTGATTGGTCGTTCGGTGTATCTTGGTCCGATCGGTCAATTGTACGATCGGGTAAATTTGTGCTCGTGGTAATTAGCCCACGAGGTCGGATACCGACCGAACACTCGGATTGGTTGGCTATTTACAGTCCAAAGTTACGATCAGCCGAACTCTCTGAATGGGTTGACGTATCACTCGGGTGAACAAGTCAAAATTTTACGATCTGCTTAGCTCTCTTGAAGTATTGTTTGAATTTTCGTTTTAGGGTGACCTGGGTCAAAAGGTCGGATGCCGGCCCCCATGCCATACTGGCCGAGTTGTTCTTCGGGTGAAATGACCACAAGGAGTCGGATACGCCGACTTCCATCAATTTGGTCGATTCAATTTAGGGTTAACTTCGTTCGGTGGTCATCGCCACGCCTTGCCCCGCCCCGCCGCCCGCCGCCATCCCTCACGCCCGGAAGGCCAATCAACGGCCAAATAACTGCCGAATGATGCTCGTGATTTCGGCAGTGACCGTCCGTGAACATGAACGGACCGTTACCGAACTATTGGGGTGGTTGAACGGACGTTTCCGAACTATTGGGGTGCTTGGCTCGGATGTTCAGCACGTTCGGAGGGCGACGATGGATCTCTCCCATGTCTAGTGTCTTTTTTCCGTGTCGCCGTTACGTCTCGCACGGGGGTGTAGCAAGACGACGAAAATCGTTCGGAGGCAAAAGCATGCAGCCTCAGAAGCCTACGGTACACGTTGGGGGAAGACCGTGCAAGGGGCAGCGGAAAAAACACCTGGAAAGCGTTTCTCCTTCCTGCCGGTGGTGGAGTGATTGATCGTCCGGGGTTATACATCTAGAAACCAGCCCGGTGGGAAAAGGCATGCATGCCTCAGGAAAAAACCCTTTTAGGTGGGGGGGGGGGGACGTTGCAAGTCACGGGGGGGAAACCTTCTAGGACGCGTCTTCATACTTGCCATGGCGATGTGATCGTTCGGGGTGTCCACGCGGTGTGAATGCAAGGCATGCATGCCTCAAAACAAACGCCTTTGGGGGGGAACCCGTGCAAGTAGGCGGCGGCGGCGGCGGCGGCGGGAAACACTTGTAGGACGCGTCTCGTGGCCTCTTGCTGACCGCGGTGGTGTCATTGGTCATTCGGGGTACATATCGCAAACCTAACGGGGGCGAAAGCATGCATGCCTCAGGAAAGAACGAAAAAACGCCTTATTGGGGAAACCCGTGCAAATCGGCGGCGGCGGCGGCGGGAAAAGCTTACAGGAGGCGTCGTCTTGCTTACCGTGGCCGTGTGGTCGTTGAGGGTGTCGAGGAGGTACCAATCGTCGAGATCTTCAGCCCAAAGTCTGACGGTCTCGTCGTAGCTGTAGACGGACGCAAACAGAAAAAGAAAACAACTCAGAACATCGACACATGGCACTCAGGAAACGTCGGTGTCAACAAACACAACGGCCTGAGAATGAGGTATGGACCACGCGCGAGCGATCTCAGCACGAAACCTGTCGCAACGAGAAGCACATGAAAAGATTTTTTTTTTCTTGATACTTTTGCTTTTGTTGTTCAATTTGGTCAACGATGCCAATCTTTACAAGCAAACAGCGCAGGATACACGCACGGGAACGAAAAATCAAGCCCGCACAGGAAAAAAACAACGAATCACGGAGAACGCGCGCTCAACATGAAACTTTGGTCGCAACAAGGAAAGCACACATACAAAGAGAGGCAACATAGCATTCTTGGTGCATAACGTTTTGTGCCAAACTAAGCTCCTGCGGTATTTGTGGAGCAAAAGAAATGAGCGACTCGCTTGCTGCCGCCACCGCCGCCGCCGCCGCCGACCCTGCTCCGACGACAACAACCGAGAAGAGGCAAACCCCCTGCGGGCAAAGCGTAAGTTACGACTTACGCGTCCACCACAACCGACAGATTTAAGGCTGCCAATGACTGGACAGAGGGAACGGCATGCCGAGAAAAACGATCCGCATTGGTCGAGCTCTGGAGAACCGAGTCTTCGTTCGGAAAAAATAAAAACAAAAGACAAGTATACACGTAGTTTGGTAGGTTTTTGGCGAAACTTGCGAAACGCCTACCGGAGAGATACCAAAACCAACAAAGTACCGAACCGAAGTCGAAGGCCCAGCAGGAAAGCGTTACGAAGGCCCTACCTGCACGACACGAGGACGTCCTTGTTCGGCAGCCAGCGCACGCTCTTCACGTCCGCGGTGTGGTCGGAGAGGACGGTCACGCATTCGTAGTCCCCCTCGGACTCATCGTACTCCCTGAGACAAGCAGGAGAAGAAGCAAACACACATCAATCTAAAAATTCGGGGTTATGTATGTGCGTGCTAAAATGTTCGGTGGGAAGAAGGGCGGCGTATCGCAGGGAACGAAAGGTTGTTCACAGAGATGACTAAAAATGGCTAAGTTTCCCTGAGACAAGACAGGAGAAGAAGCATACATCTAAAACTTTCGGTGGCAAGAAACGCGGCGCTGCTCAGGGAAGGAAAGCACTTGAAAGAGAGCAATAAAGAATTCTGGTACAATAGTTTCCGTGAGACACCCAGGACAAGAAGCACACATCAAGCAAGCAAGACAAAGTGTTTCTCGTTCTCGATAACCGACACCAGTAGAAAGCTTAAGCTCGCTGTTCTATCTTTGTGATGTTGCTGGCCCCTGCTTGCTGCTATACTCCCGATCGCGTTCGGTGGGGAAGAATAGCGGCGTTGCGCACGGAACCGAAGGCTGACAAGAGAAGGAAACAAAAAACAAACAAAATTTCCCGAGATCGGCAGTTTTACAGAAGCCCACGGCTACGCATACTTGCTCAGTTCCGCGACGAGCTACGAAGGAGATATGAACCTCCACTGGATAAGAACCTACTAGCCGCATACGCACTGGATGGTCCCTGGACACCACCAGAAAACCCTGAACGGCGACGATCAACAAAGTTAGGGAATTCAAAGGCAATACTGTACGTGTGCGCTACACGTTCACATGCCAACACGTCTTTCTCTCTCTCTCTTTCTCCCTCTCTCTCTCTCTCTCTCTCTCTCTCTCTCTCTATCTCTCTCTCTCTCTCTCTCTCTCTCTCTCTCTTTCTCTCTCTCTCTCCCCCATCTATCTCTCTCTCTCTCTTCTCACCAAATCCAGACAGACTTGTCCCGTCCACAAGTGGCGAGGAGGTTGCCCCCGCGACTCCACGCGACACTCTTGACCTGCCGTAACCAAAACCACGGAACGATCCGAAGAAAAAAAGGAACGGAACACTCCGAAGTAAGCGGGACAACGGCTGCAGCTAACGCCCGGACTTGAAACGACCCGAAGAAAAAGCGGAATGCAACACTCCGAAGTATGCGGAACAACGGCTACAGCTATCGCTCGGCACCATAGAACTTGGAAGTTATTGAAGAAATCGATATAGCCTCGAAAAACTATTTGTGAGCGAGCCCGGTCAAGAACGCATCACGCGAAAACCCAAATAGTAGCGGTCATTGTAGTAGCGCTCCAGAGGAACTGAGAACATCAGCCTCGGTCAAAACTAGAGGCTCTTGAGCACTTAAGAAGTTGGCAGAGAATGGAAGAAATTAATATGGCCTAAAAAAACTCTTCCAAGTCTATGAGAACTTGAGCAACTTTTGTGAGTCCGGTTAAGAACCAAGACCTACCCTAAAACCTGCATAGCGGCTGCTGTTAGCATGACCCCAGGAACTGAGAACCCCCAGCGTCGGCCAAAGCTAGAGGCTCTTTAGGTTCGATGAAAAAAAAAACATTGTTCTGGCTGTTTTCTAGTCGAAAAACGGTCAGTTGTTGTGTGAGCTGTTGAGCGCGGGAAAGTCACAGCGCTGGTGACAGCTAGCAGTGCGTTGCTTGTATTTTCATCTTGTCATCATTCCCCTTGATGACACTGTGCTCTCATGAGCGCACTCCAGATTGGGCACCATTGCGCCCTTACAGTTCACATGCTCTCGGTAGACACCTGGCCCAGGTTCGTGTAGCAATGGCCTCGATGAAATGCCGGGTACCCGGAACAATACTTAAAAGTGTAGTAAACTACATGCACTGAAACACGTGTAATACACGTCTCACCACGAAAAATGGGGGGACTGTCGCCAGAATAAACAGGACGAAAACACACGCACACCAGCAATAATGCCAGTGAAATCGCGTGACACAGATGGGATATTCAAGTTGTCTTGATTCTCTGAGTACCGGGTGCCCGGATTCTTTATACTTTTTTGCCTTCACGTCAAATCAGCACTCACAGCATTTGTGGTGTTTACTCCAACCCGTGGTTGTCACACAGAAGGGTTCCTCTCCCTGAGGCCCCCTACCCACCCCTCCTCTGGGAAGCATGCCGGTGAAAATCGCGCGACACAGATGGAATATTCACGTTGTCTCCTTCTCTCGGCAACGCCGGGTGCCCGGTACAATGCCGGAGAAGTGGGCGTGACACGCAACGGCAAATATGTCGGGACCACTGCACTGCTGTTACCTCGTTTTCGTGACCCTCTAGCGTCGCCGTCAGCTCCCAGGCAAGCTCGCCCGCCGTGGTCGTCGACTCCTGCCGCCGCCATACGGAGCACGTGCCATCGAAAGACACGGCGGCGATGAACCTCCCTGGAACCAGGCATTCGGCGATGAGACCCACCGCGAAGAAACATCTGCAATAGAGGTCTCTGGTGAAGTGCCCAGATAGTCGACCGGCGCTACTATTCTAGACACCGGCACCTAACGCGAAGTACAGAATGACTCGGTGATTCAGTCTGGGCCCGCCGAATCAAAACCGGCACTATGTATCGGGAACCCGCGCTACTCAACCAACACTAAACAGGCCGCATCACTGCAGCAGGCTTTTGCCTGAGAGGAGAATTTGATGGAGTTCGCGTCCAAGGCAAGGCCGAGTTGTGCATACCGTACATAGGTGACAGGGGATATCACGACCCCCCGGGACCGATTTACACCTCAATTTCTCTACAGCAAAACGAGAGGCGTTGCCGAAAATGGCGGTGTGGGAACCGTCTCGTGGAGAGTTTTCCGAACATGTATCGTTTCATGTTGTGCATCCTCTTCGTTGTGGAGAAATCGAGGGGTTGGAACTCGGTCAAGGGGGTGTGGTATCCTGTGTCGCCTAGTCTAAAGTCGTCGTAGGGTCACGGCGTATCTCAGTTTGCAGGAACTGGAGAAAACGCGCGGAAACAACAATGCCGACAACAGCGACAACAACAACGCGGACAACAACGACAGCAGCGGCAGCAACAACACAGCAGCAACCACCACACACCAGCACCTGCAGCAGCAGCAACAACACAACAACAAAGACAAAACAAACACCAACGCCAGCATCAACAGTATCACTACACACCACCATTTTCTAACAGCCACGATAACGTTGACAACAACAACCACAACAACTACTCTACTCACCGAAAAGACTTCAGCACATCCAACCCCTCTTGGGGCGGGGTTGGCGAGAAATGTGTTGGTGGAGTATAGATTTAGATTGCGACGGAGCAGCAGTGTGATTCGATGATAATTCCCTGTATTTCCACGCACGCACGCCCATCTGCAACCTTTTTGACGATGGGCAGGTCGGTGTGACCTCGGCGCAACCACATGACAGAGAGAGCGAGCCAGGCCATCCCTTTTCGACTGTGCTTTCATGTAGATTCGACAACAATAATAACGACAAAAGCAACAGCAACAGCAAAAATATATCATCATCAGCTTACCACAGGGAGACCAATCGCAGCAGCGAACCGTCCTGGTCGCCCCATCCTCTAGCAGCGCCGCGCAGCGCCAGCCGTTTTCGCTGTCCTTGGATTGGCACCAGACTCGGATAGTCTGGGAGGCGCCGCGCACGTGGGTTAGGTGCATTGTTGCGAGGAACACAGCAATTGGGGATGTCCACCGCAAGACGAGAGAGAGACAGAGAAAGAGGGGGAGAGGGAGAGGGAGAGGGAGAGGGAGAGGGATTGTGATGAGAGGCACAAACATTTGGGTAGCTGAATATACAGCAGTTGGTAAAGAGCGAGATGGGAGTATATTTTTAGCAAAATATTCCCGCCGACATATCGTTGGGATAGAAACTCAAATGGCAAACGTTTGCAAACGATCGAGTAAGCACCTGATGAAGAAAAGCCAAACAACTCCGTTGCAGGCCTGGTCGTCACATGAGCCGATTGGGAGCAAAATGCGGTGGAATTTGAATCTACTGGTGTGCATACCAGTCTGTGGGAGCGCTTGCACGCTGTCTATCTCGCATGGCCCACCTTGTCGCTGCTACAGGACGCCAGCAGTCTCCCGTCCGGCGACCAAGCCACGCACCACACTCGCTCCGTGTGGCCCTCCAGCGCTGCCGTCTCGCGCAGTCGAGACATGTTGTGCAACTCTGCTCTGTCCGGTGCGCAGCAGCAGCAGCAGCAGCGGCAGCAGCAGCGGCAGCAGCAGCAGCAGGTCGGAGTACGGGACTTCTTCCCAAGAACACCTTTGGCTCTAACAGGAATCTAGGGCCCACAGCAGCCGGTCGGTGTTATCTACTGTTGTCGTAGACGCGCGTCTCAACTTGTGTCCGCGTATCCAATAAATGTCACCGCAAAACTCACAAACCTACCTACCTCGGGCAGGGGGAGTCGCACATAGGAACGTGACGGTTTGCATGGTTGCATACGCAGAAAAAATACTTTAACACATTTGAGGGTCGTACATGTAGGTAAGCAATACATTTCGGTACAAGGCAACCTGACAGCAACGCCTTCTACAGCCGAAAGATGTATGGCTTATTAATCGGGCCTAGAGTAATTTGAAGAGGTAGAGAGGATGGAGAGAATGGAAGCCATACTAAAAAATGCGGCGAGTCTACTTCCGTTTCGGGGAAGTCTCAACTACACCCCCTCTCCCCGAAGGCTACGGTCAGGGGCCTCTGCAGCAGCAGCGCAGGCAGTCCACCATCCGAACGCCATCGCGCGGCTCACAGCAAGCGAAGACACCCCATCTACCGTCATCGTCTGCTCTAAGGGTACCTCTGTGTTGGCACAGCTTGTGGGTAGATTGGCGTTTGTTTCTCCCAGCATTGCTCGACAGACACCGCTGTTGTTGCTGCTGCCACAAGGGCGCTGCTGCAACGACGCTCTTCCCACCGCCGTTCATGAAGCGATCACGCAGCCACGCCAGGAGCCGACGCGACCCGCCCCACCGATCGCCTTTCACCACCTCAGCCGCCGTCCCTGATTGTGCAGCAGACGCGCAACGAGGACCGGCGATATTATTGGCGCCCAGGCCGGAACGAGCCGCTGTTCGGACAGCGTCCTGGAACACCACAAGAAGAAGAAGGAGCAGGCTGGCGATGATGGTGACAGCCGCTGTTTGGTGCTCGGCCGCATCGTCCCCGGCCTCGGCGGCCGTCCGCAGCACCAGCGGCTGCTCCATCCGAACCTCGTTCCTTCACTCCTGGTTGCCGGGGAGGCAGCTGGCAGCTGCGCCAAGGGCCGTGGGAAAAGGCGCTAGCGCAGCAGGAAGTACAGCACCCGTGGTGGCGCGATCGAGCGGCAGCAGGCGTCTTGCGGCACCGACATCAACACCCCGCACTCGAGACGACTCAGCAGCGTGGCTTTCCCGAGCATCGCGGCATCGTCATCACCGCCAGCATGCTGTGGCTCTGGCCGGTGGGACGTTGCCGCGGTATTCGGTATCGGCCACCGGTGACGGCATGCTCCGCTGCAGCATCACCAGCAGCTGCAGCAGCAGCAGAGCGCTGGGCATGGCTGTCGCCCGCGGCGGCAGCAGCGCCACGTTCGCGAGCGGCTCCGGCAGCAGGACGGCCGCCCGGAAGCGGCGCGATCGACGGCGGGCTACTCACGCCAGCAGCAACAACAATAGGCCCAGCAGCGGCAGCAGTTTGAGGTACGTACAGCAGTAGCCTTCGCGAGGATATTGACGCTTGGTTTTGTAGCAGCAGCAGCAGCAGCAGCCGGTTGAGGTACGTACAGCAGGAAGAGTCTTCGCGAGCGTAATAAGCTTGGCTTTCAGCAGCAGCAACAAGCCCAGCAGCAGCAGCAGCAGTTTGAGGTACGTAAAGCAGGAATAGCCTTCTCGAGGATATATTTTGAGCTTGGTTTTCAGCAGCAACAACAAACCCAGCAGCAGCAGCAGCAGCAGCAGCAGCAGCAGCAGTTTGCGGTACGTACTGCAGCGTTCGCGAGGATATCGAAGCTTGGTTTAAGTAACTATTAGGGGTGACGGTTTTGGGTTAGGTGTCGGGCTAGGGCTACGTCAACCCCCCTGTCTATTCCCTATTTTAATATCGACGCCCTCGCGAAGGCCGTCCGGTACGCAACTCCTTGGACATAATCTCGACGCTGCGATTGTCGTGTGCGACGTGTCTTGTGTTTTCAGCAATTTGTTCCCGCGTACATGGTATGTGCACATGCACCACAGTTGATAGTTACGCGCCAACTTCCCTTTCGGTCGTGGAGGGCGCCGGTGTGGGATCGATCGCCCCCGAACACGCGCGCACGCACACAGAATCGCACCAACCGAGACGCGCGAGCGGGGTCGTAACTACCGTAAACGACACAAGATAACACACCCTCTGGACCAATTTTCAAATCTTTATTTCTCAACAACAGAAAGAGTCATAGCGCCGAAAACGGTGGCGTTGAAGCTGTCTCGTCGAGAGCTGTCCGAAAATGTATTGTTTCATTTATGCATCCTCTTCGTCATGGCGTAAACGAGCTTTGAAAATTGGTCCAGGGGGTGTGTTATCTTGTGTCATATGCGGCATTGTGGCTGTGTTCTGTGACTCTGCGAACAACCCTTGTTCACGCCGCCCAGCGTTGTTGCCGTGATTCGTTGTCTTCGCACAGCCCCTAATCTTTCGTGCCTTAGACCAATCATGGAAAATGGTTTGCAAGTTGTCATGGTTAAACAAACAACGCCATTCAAACCTAGTAGACAAGAGCTGCCCAAACTGGAGGAAAAAACTCCCCTCACTGCTGTTGTGACCTCGGGAGGAAGTCGTCCGCGTCAGTTGGACCAGTGCGGATATTGGTACTTCTGGGAGGAGACCAGAGTGTGAAGATAACAATAACAACATATACAACAGCAGCAACAATAACAGCAACACAATCGATCCCAACCCGGCGGCGGTGCGTTCTCTTTTCCGATGCTGCAGGTCCCACCGCAGTGAAGAAGCAGAGGGGGAGGGGGGACAAAAACGGGGAGGGGGTGCGGCCGAGCGGACGGAACCGTTGCGAGACGGCGCAGCGTCGCTTGCATCGGAAGAGCAGCGGCGACCAAGAGCAGCAGCAGGAGGCCCCACAGATGACGAGACGGCGACGACGAGCAAGCGGCAAGGAGGGGAGCGGCGGTGGGAGAACAACAATGCCAACAACGGGAACGGCAAGCAGCAGCGGCGGCAGCAGCAGCAGCAGCAGCAGCAGCGGGAGAGGGGGGGGGGCAGCAACGCGGCGGCGACGCCGCCGCCGCCGCCGCCGCCGCCGCCCGAAGAAACCCTTTCGCTACCGTTTGGGACTGCGTACCACGTGCCCGTGGTCTGCGAAGAGGTAGGAGCGCGAGAGAGACCAGAGAGAGAGAGAGAGAGACAGAGACAGAGACAGAGAAAGAGAAAGAATGAGAAAGAGAGAGGCAAGAAATGACGCACATGGCTGGCAAAAAGTTCAGCAGTGTATTTCTTGAGCAGACTCGACGTGCATAGTCCCGGTGCTGTACAACCCAGCAGGTTTTATTCTTCCTCCCCCACTTGCCGCGAAGACTTTCAGCACATGCCCTAGGGAAAAGAAAGGCCACGCGGCTGCCTAAAAAATGAAAAATGCAGTGTAACAGCTAGACGAAACATTCTCACTGCATGCCATGTACCCCTACAGGTTTTCGCACACACCTTTCTTCCAACAGAATCCCCTCCGACTCCCGTTGAATGTTTTGAAACGGGTACAGCACTAATGGTTTTTCGGTGATTGTATGCATATTTTCGAGAACATTTCCACCCCTATTATAATACCAAGTACCAAGCGCAGCAGTACTTTCGCTGATCTCGAGTCCACCAGAGCAAACGAGCCATGAGCGATAGTCTATTTTTGTTCCCTCTAGCGCCGCTGAAGCCGAAGATTGAGTTCTCCAAACGAATAGGTGAATGGTTGTGTGGTAGATCTTGCTCCCCTTGCCGAAGACGTACTTTTGTGTGTGTTGCCCGTCGATCAGTGGTGTAGCAGCTACGGCCGTGCCTTCAGGCTGGCTTGTGTCAGTCTACAAGCGGAAAAATTAAACAGACAAGCAATAAGCATTGTCGCGCGAACAGGATTTACCGTGATTTCATTCTGTCTTCGACCGCTTCTCTCTGTGTGTTGCATCTGCGTGTGTGTGTGGGTGTGTGGGTGTGTTTCTTATTGGCATTGACCGCGCTTCCCGGCTGACCAATGGAAAGATGTCAGAGTCGGTGCGGTTGAAAACACAAAACGCTTCTAAGGTGTGCGTGTTTGCCTAGTGCTGAGAATCCTTGTCCGCTGCCGCATCAGCTATAAACCCTACAAGGGGAACATCAAAAATACAAAAAACGCCTTAGCGAACGGGATATATCCGAAATGTTTTCGGTCGTCGAACGCTTCTTCTCTATGTCCTGCTTGTTTTGAAAGTGTGCACATAGAGACACAGAAGGACTATCCGTTTGAGATAGTACCACAGTCGAAAGGGATGTGCTGAAGTCTTTACAGTGAGTGGAGTGAAACCGGCTGGAAACTGGGCTTATTTTGAGTCTGTTTTAATCCTATACACTGAATTCTGTTTCTTTTTTTTGTGTGTCTGGGTTTGAGAATCCCCGTGCATACTTTCGTACATCAGCAACACACCGTACATCAGTAACACAAAAAACGCACCCCACCCATCCATGAAAACAGGTACTGGAGTGGCTGATCACCAAGCCCGATGGGGTGTACGTGGATTGCACCCTTGGGGGGGGTGGGCACAGCGCGGCGCTATTGTCGGCGCTGGGTGCGGGGGCCAGGGTGATCGGGTTGGATCGGGACCCCGACGCGCTGAGGGAGGCTTCCGCACGACTGGCGGCCGAGGTACTCGTCACTTCCTGTGTGTTGCCTTTGCTGCTGTTCTTGATGTTGCCTTTGCTGCTGCTGTTGCCTTTGCTGCTGCTGTTGCCTTTGCTGCTGCTGTTGCCTTTGCTGCTGCTGTTGCTGCTGCTGCTTCTGTTGCTGCTGCTGCTGTTGCTGCGGCTGCTGCTGCGGCTGCTGCTGTTGGGTTGCTGCTGCTGTTGCTACTGCTGTTGCTGTTGCTCCTGAACAGTCGTCTAGCTCTCTCTGTATCTGTCCGTCTGCCTGTCTGTGTGTGTGTCTCTCTCTCTCTCGCCCCCCCCACCCCCCCACCCCCCCCCCTCTCTATCTCTTTATGTTATTCTCTGCTCGGCTACTCCATGTTGATGGGAGTCTGATAGGCCCTGCCAGATATTGTACGCGTGTATGGTGGCACATACGTTGGTGGTTGTTGTCGTCTTTTTCCCCATAGCGACTTCATGAGCCCGGAACGTCGAGGTATTGGATTAAATGAAGGTCAAGGAAACGTTCGTGGGGTGGACGTCAAGCAACAGCCAACACGTGTCGTTTCGATGTCATCTGCTTACCGGAATACGACACAAGACAACACACTCCCTGGATCGATTTTCAAAGCTCGATTTCTCAACAGTAGAGAGAGTCACAGCGCCGGAAGCGGCGGCGTTGAAGCCGGTTTGTCGAGAGAAAGCTTTCCGAACATGCACCGTTTCGTTTATGCATCCTCTTCGTCGTGGCGTAGTCGACCTTTTCAAAATGGGTCGAGGGGGGTGGAGGGGGAAGGGGTGTACTCATAGTTGTGCATGCCGTAGTCGTTAGACCATTGACCTCGCATCCCTACAAAGCCGGGATGGAGCACGCCGGGTTCTCACCGGACCAGGCTCTCATTTCACAGAGCACGAAGCGCCGTGAGGTATTCGGCGAGTCGCATGAAGGGTGCGCTGCATCCTGCTAAGGGTGTTCGGCATCTTGTGCTTACTTCCTTGCGTACGGATGACAGCTGCGTATGACTTAATTTATTTTTCTGGTGTTTTTCCCTTCCAGAGAAAGCTGTAAGCACTATGCAACTGCCTCGAGGGTGCTTGACGAATTTACCACTACCACACGTGGTTCGATTATTTTTGCGCGGAGTGAGGGTTCTCGACCCCGCACAACATGATCTGCTCGACCACCATTCATGGTTACCACGAAAAACGAAAAACCCAAAGGCAAAAAAAAACTGTAACCTGGTTGCCGAACTCACTAAGTGATCGGCTTGTTTTACAACGTCGTTGCCACGCGACGAAAACCCAACCCCGATGGCAAACACCGGGGGGGGTGAGGGGGGGTGTTATATTGTGCCTGCCAATATATTCCTCCGTTGGCCAGAAGCTCAGATCGGCTTGTTGTTTGTTTGGACCAACCGGTTGTTTAAACCCACCGCCGATCGTGTCCGTCGCAATCACTGATTGTTTTGAGACCATCCGCTCGATTGCTCCGAACCCAAAAACAGAAAGAGCCAACATCTAACAACCTCCTAGTTTTGGCCCAAGCGGGGGTTCTCAGTTCCTATTGGATAATGCTACGAATGGCCGCTTAAGCAGGTTTTGGTACAGGGTTTTTTAACCGAGCTCACAAATGGTGCTCGGGTCTTCGAGTTTTGAGTTTTCTTCAGGCAATATTGTTTCTTAGCCGGTGGGCGCTAGCTTTTTTGTTTTTTTCGAAGTCCAGGAAGCAGTGGTCTGAACATTTCGATTCCTTTATTGACTGCGTAAAGTAGTGTGTCTGAGCTCGAAAATCGTTACTTGTCGTTTTTCGAGTACCTCCGCTCTTTGTCCCGCCGCAATTCCTAGTCAACGCTCTAGCTTTTCGATAACATCCGCGTGTTGTTTCACCGCAATTGTTTTTTCAATGGTCTCGATTTTTGATTATTTCCGCGCCTTTGTGTCCGCTGCAGTTGTTTTTTCTCCGCGCTGCCTGCTCCCGGGTGCCCCCCTCATATGCTTCTTATATATTATTTTCTCAGGCAGAGGTGGGGAGGTTCCAAGCCGTCCGCTCCAACTTCGCGGCCGTCGGTAGGGCGGTTCGAGAGTGCGAGCTGATGCTTCAGCAGCCACCCCTCGCACCAGAAGCATCAACAGCACCAGCACCAGCAGCGGGGGTGCCACCACGTACTACATCTGCAGGCCCCCTGGTCGACGGCATCCTGGTCGACCTGGGCGTGTCGAGCCACCAGATCGACGACGAGGCCAGGGGGTTCAGTTTCTCGGCCGACGGGCCCCTCGACATGCGGATGGAGGGGACCGGGGACGGTGACTCCGTGGGCGAAAGAAGCGGGTTCGGAGGTTCGGACAGAGTTTGTGTTGTTGTTCCGCCGGTTCGGATATTTCGTGCGACACCGGATTTTTTGTTTTCCGCTCTCTCGCACGACAGTAAGTGGGTGTGTGTGTTTGCTGTAGCTTTTTATTGTGAGTGCAAGTAGGTTTTTCGGTGGTTGTCGTAGGAGCTCACAGAATGGACACCGCTGCTGTCCCCCGCCGCTTCTCCCAATATTTGTTTCTATAGCTCCCTGTCCGGTCCCTATGTACGTACAACAGCTGCGACCCCCACCTACCCGCCAGACAGTGTCACCTACGCTCCCCTTTCGCAATACTAAATACTGTATCTCTACAACTCCCACTGCTGTCAGGCGTGGCGTCGACATCGAGGGAGCACGAGGACAGAGCCGTTGAGAAGGGCGGCAGGGGGGAGGGGGGCGGCGGCGGCGATGGCCGGGGGGGCGGGGGTGGTGTGTCTGCCGCTGATGTCGTGAATTTCGCGGATGAATCGGAGATCCGGGAGATGGTGTGGCGCTACGGGGACGAGAAGAGGGTGAGACATTTTTTTGTTTCTGTTTTATTTTCCATGTACACACAAACGCACGCACGCATCGCCATTGACAGATACGTTGGGCGTTTCGAGATTATGGTGGTGACGTGCTCTGGCTGCGAGCCAAGCTGGGGGGGAGTTTAGATATTTTTTGCACGTTTAGTCGTCAAGCTCTTCCCTTGCACCCGCCCCCTGCATCCCTCGGCCTCGACTGCGTCGAACGCCTTCTTGCCGACTACGGCATGCATTTACACGAGTACACTTTGCACTGCAAGTTAGGGGCCCGGTTCGGCGACCCCTACTGTCACGACGAGATGTGGTCGTTGTTCAGGTCAGGTCGCTACAACGAACTACCAATTATGAAAGATGAAGCAGCAGTTTTACTACAAGGGTGCGGCCGTGGATTGGGTTTGTGGTCGCTAAACGGGCCTCCCTACTGTATCCCGCACGTAACGGAGTATCGCGCGTGTGTTCATTCTCTTCATGTTACCCACCCCGCTGTGCGAAACACCGACATTTTCGCTCCGTCATCCCGGCATGATTGTGGGGGTGCGAGGTCGGTGGTCGTGTACCCAACTGGTACGGCATATGCGTTTATACGAGTACACTCAGAACTATCCCGCACTTAAAACAGGCGTGTTCTCGTGTGTGTTCACACTTCATGTGGTGCCCTCCCGGCTCTGCGAATAACGGACAACTCGCTCCGTCACCCCGGCACTATTGTCGGGATGCGAGGTCTATGTTCGTGTACCGAATACGACATATGTATGCGTTTACACGAGTACCCCATGCACTAGCCGCAAGGAAAGGCATTTTTCTGGGGGGTGTGTTTTGAAATTCATCCTCGTTCCCGCGCGCCCCCACACCCCCCCCCCCGCATATCGGAAGGAACGTCGCTCCCCCCCGTCCTCTCGAGGACGGGTGGTCAATGGTCTGACCGCTATTGCGTGCCAAACATGGGTACCCCCACCCCCACCCCCACCCCCTTTTGCCTTGGGCTTGGTTTGTGGGAAACGCCTTTTTTGGCCCTCCGCCCCTCCACCCCCCGCCCCCCCCTGGTGCTTTGGGCCTCACTTATGTAGAAAAAATTCTCCCCCCCCCCCCCCACGGCGTCGCCCCCCACCCCCCCACCCCCCATGAGACAGTCGACCAAGATCGCGCGAGCCATCGTGGAGAACAGGCCCATAGCGACCACCGGGCAGCTGGCGGAGGTGGTGGGGAGATGCGCCCCGCCCAAGGAGCGCGTCAAGACCCTGGCCCGGGTGTTTCAAGCCCTCCGGATAGAGGTGAGGAGCCCTGGAAAGGTTAGCCCTGACCAGAGCTAGCTAGCTAGCTGACGGGTGTTTCAGGCTCCTCAGGATATTGAGGTGAAAGTTCTTTGCAAGCCCTTAACCAAGCTAGCTGGCTGGGATGGTCAAAACCTTGGCCAGGGTGATTGGAGCCCTCCCGGTAGAGGTGAGGGGTCCTCGACAGGTTAGCCTGACACCCTAGCTAGGCCGTGGGCGTTTCAAGCTCTCAAGGAAGCCCTTAACCAAGGTAGCTATTACAGCTGAGATGGTCAAGGCCCTGGCCAGGGTATTTCGAGCTCGCGGGATAGAGGTGAGGGTCCTCGAAAGGATAGCCCTGACCCACCCAAGCTAAGTAGCGGGTGTTTCAAGCTCTTAGGAAACCCTTAGCCGAGTTGGTTATCGCAGCTGAGATGGTCAAGGCCCTGGCCAGGGTGTTTCAAGCCCTCCGGGTAGAGGTGAGACAGGTTATTAACCCGAACACCCTGGCTAGCTGGCGGTGCGTTCCATTACTCAGATGAAGGTCCTTACATTTGGCCGTGACCCGGTTGTTTTAATCGCTGGCGATTGTTTTCTCATGATAGGTGTAAGGGGTCCTTAGGAAGCCCTTTTCACCCTGGCCACCGTAGGTTTGCATACGTAAGATATCACACCCCCTTCCTGGGCCGGTTTTCAAAGCTCGATTGCTTACTCGGCAGGACAAACAGTGACGGTGCCGAGAATGGCGGGAGGCGTTGGAACCGTCGTCTCGTCGAGAAATTTTCCGAAAAAGTGTCGTTTGAACTCGGCATGCTCTTCGTCGCGGCGTAATCGACCTTGGAAAGTCGGTCCAGGGGGTGTGGTACCTTACGCAACCTACAGCAGTAGCTGACTGCTAAAGCTCTCGTGGAAGAGTCTTCTTTTTTTTTTTGTACGATGTTTGTTTGGTGATTTTGTACCGAAAGCTTGGATTCATCCGATTGTGGGCCACAGTTTATTTTTGTTCTGCTGTGTTGAGTTGTGCAAGACGTGCCGTGCATAGAAACGGCGTGGCGTGTGCAGCATGCCGTCCCCGCCCAAACAACGATGACAACAACAACAACAACAACAACAACAGCAACATCACCATCAACGGCATTGATAACACAACAACAAGAACAACGACTACGGTTACGACAACACCCCAAACCTCCAACCAGCAATAAACGCCCCCAACGGCCCTATCAGGTGAACGGGGAGCTGGACGCCCTGGAGGCGTTGCTGGAGCAGGCCAAGCACCTCGTGCGACCGGGGGGTCGCCTGCTGATCCTGTCCTACCACAGCCTCGAGGACCGGCGCGTGAAGCGGGTCCTCGCTACTGGGAACTTGAAGGTGTGTCTGGTGTGTGTATGTGGTTTGTTTGCTTGGTGATGGTTGTTCGGTTTTGTGCTCGTGCTTGCTACTGTAGTGGGAACCTCAAGGTGTGCCTTGTGTATGTGTGCGTTCTGTGCTTGGCTGGTTGTTCGATATGTGCTCGTGCTAGCTACGTGGTTGTTCGGTATGTGCGCGTGCTAGCTACGTGGTTGTTCGATATGTGTGCGTTCTGTGCTTGGCTGGTTGTTCGATATGTGCGCGTGCTAGCTACGGGGAGCGCAGGGTACGCCTTGTGTAGTTGTATTGTTTTTTTTTGTGTGTTTCGTTTGTTTAGTGTTGGTTGTTCGAATTGTGCCCGGTTTCTGGCTCCGTTTGCTCAGTGTATCCTCTTATTCGTTCGTGCCGTTTCGATAGCGGGATTCTTCTGGCCTAGGGAAACGTTCAGATGCGCCTTGTATTGTCTTGCTTGGTGTTGGTTGTTCGATTGTGCACAGTTTTTCGCGACGGGAAGCAGGACCTGAAAAACATTCCCGTCCACGTCTCAGATGCTGCGATCGGCTCCGGCTCGCAGGGAGTGCGGCAATACATTTCACTCCTGCGTCAAACCGTTAAGTCCGTGACACCAAGTTCGTTGTTAATTCTGTTTTGGCACCGCTTTTTTGCGTTTCATCTCGTCTCTTGGTGTTTTTTTCTTGTCGAGCGTGTGAACGTTGCGGCGAAAACGAACATCAGGGTGTTTTTTTTTCTTATGTCTTCACTTGAAGTCAGTGCTCACAGCGCTTATGCCGTTTACTCCGACCCGTGGTCAGACTGAAGGGTTTTTCCCTTGTCCACCCCTCCTGCGGTACCTTGCCTTCGATCTTTCATGGGTGTGCCGCGTTTATTTTGTTCTCTTGTGCGTGGCTCTTCGGTTCGACAACGACGGGCACTATCCCAACCTACCGGCCACCGTAGGTTGCATACGTTAGACACCAAACCCCCTGGAAACATTTTCAAAGCTTCAATACTCCACGACGAAGAGGATGCTGCAATTTATGGATACGTTTTCGGAAAAGCTTGTCTCTCGACGAGAAGGTTCCAACGCCTCCCGCCATTTTTCGGCACCAACACTTTTTCTCCTGCAGAGAAATCGAGCCTTGACAATCGGACCAGGGTGTGTGATATCTTGTGCAACCTACGGTAAATTTCAGCACAACCGAGAGGTCTTCCATGTCACTGTAGTGCAGCGAGAACCTGCTACACCAAGCCATCAGTACGCATGTCTCGTAACTTACACAACGGGGTACAGCAGTGGGGGGCCCTCAATGTAGCGCCGGTATGTGCCCGGCGAATCGACCGGCGCCATTCGGAGGGACCGGCGCTATTTCAATGTACAGAATGACTTGGTCATTTACCCCGTGCCCAGCAATTTCACCGGCGCTACAAAAGGCCACCCGGCGCTAATCAGCGGCGGCCCTTATTGACGCTCCCCCATCGTACACCGATTCCCGGAAGATTGGCCAAAGGTAGAGGAAAATCTCTCTCTCTCTAGCTTTTCGCCTTCTTCCTGGAGGACCCCAGCGGGTGCGGTCAAAAGCTTGCCTAAAGGGGAACCGTAGGTGACATGACGGAAGATATCACACCCCTTGAACCAGCTTTCGAAGCTCGATTACAGATCGCGCCCGCACTCAAGAACCTCTAGTTTCGGCCGAGGCTCGGGTTCTTTACCGTATTCCTAGGGTCATGCTACGAATGGTCGCTTTTTAGGTTTTAGTGCAGCGGTTCTTAGCCGAGCTCACATTTTTTTTTTTTAAGGCTCAATTTTTTTAGTCCTGGGTTCTTCAGTGGTGGCGCGTTCTGTACCGTACTCCGCAGCAGCACAGAGTTATGGCGGTGTCGAAAAATGGCGGCGTCGTCGAAACCCGGCTCGTCGAGAGCTCTTTCCGAAAACGTATCGTTCGATTTTTGCGTCCTCTCTTCGTTGTGTGGAATACTCGCTTTGCTGGGGGTGTGGTATCTTACGTGTATCGTCTACGATAGTCTGGCTGGGGCCCAGAATAGACGGGACGAAAACTTAATCTTTTGTCGCACCCCCTATTGCTCACCAAGCAGCTGTCATCCGTACGCAAGGAAGTAAGCACAAGATGCCGAACACCCTTAGCAGGATGCAGCGCACCCTTCATGCGACTCGCCGAATAAATACCTCAATGTGCTTCGCGCTTGGTGATGTGAGAGCCTGGTCCGGTGAGAACCCGGCATGCTCCATCCCGGCTTTGTAGGGATGCGAGGTCAATGGTTTATCGACTACGGCATGCACAACTATGAGTACACCCCCCACACACATAGTTGGGGAGTGTGAGTTGTACAAGAAGGAAAGAGAGGATCTCGAGGAGGAAATGAGACAGAGAGGGTTTGACATGGACAAGTTTGGTAAATTAGACAACAGCGAAAAAACGATCGCGATAATTGGGGATAGATGGTGGGCACAAGAGGCCCTAGAGGACGGGGATAAGATGTGCAAGAAATTTTTTTGGAGTGTGTGGCAGAAACGTAAAGAGCTCCCAAATGTTGGTGGTGTTTTTAGTAGGTGTAGGAACGGTGCTCCGTCTCGAAAGGGACGCGTGGTCAATGGTCAAATGACTACGGCAAGCAACAAATGAGTACGCCCCCCCCCCCCCGGTGTTTGCCATCGGGGTTGGGTTTTCGTCGCTTGGCAACGATGTTGTAAAACAAGCCGCCCCCCCCGGCGTTGTGTTAAAATGGTCAAGCTTCCTCGAGGCAGTTACACAGTGCTTACAACTGTCTCTGGAAGTGAAAGCACCAGAAAATAAATTAAGTCATACGTAGCTGTCATCCGTACGCAAGGAAGTAAGCACAAGATGCCGAACACCCTTAGCAGGATGCAGCTCACCCTTCATGCGACTCGCCGAATACCTCACGGCGCTTCGCGCTTGGTGATGTGAGAGCCTGGTCCGGTGAGAACCCGGCGTGCTCCGTCCCGGCTTTGTAGGGATGCGAGGTCAATGGTCAAACGACTACGGCATGCACGACTATGAGTACACCCCCCCCCACCCCCCCGGCGTTTGCGATCGGGATTGGGTTTTCGTCGCTTGGCAACGACGTTGTAAAAGAAGCCAATTCACTTCGTGAACTCGGCAACCAGGTTACCGTTTTTTTTTTTTACCTCTGGTTTTTTCTTTTGGCGGTAACCATAATGGTGGTCGAGTAGATCGTGTTGTGCGGGGTGGAGAAACCTCACTCCGCGCAAGGGGGATGATCGCACCACGTTGTGTTAAATTGGTCAAGCATCCTCGAGGCAGCTATACAGTGCTTATAGCTGTCTCTGGAAGTGAAAGCACCAGAAAATAAATTTTAAGTCATACGCAGCTGTCATCCGTACGCAAGGAAGTAAGCACAAGCTTCCGAACAGCCTTAGCAGGATGCAGCTCACCCTTCATGCGACTCGCCGAATACCTCACGGTGCTTCGCGCTTGGTGATGTGAGAGCCTGGTCCGGTGAGATCCCGGCATGCTCCGTCCCGGCTTTGTAGGGATGCGAGGTCAATGGTCTAACGACTACGGCATGCACGACTATGAGTACACCCCCCCCTATTACCCACCACTTGCATACTATGGGTAGAGCAATGTTTGGTATAGATAGGAAGGACCCCGGAAGTCGGGTAGGCTTTGTCGCGGCCGCCGAGGGTGTTTTTGTTTTTCTCGGCTTGATGATGTAGGCCGAATTGTCCTTAACGACGTAATCTTGTGGACGCGGGCTTGTAAGGCGAACACTCCTTCTCAGGCGTGCGCATGTTTTCTGTCTGCGGCGAACTTCCCAAGTAGGGAAAAATAGCGGGATGAGTTGTACGACAGCTTCCAAAAGCATCGCCCCCCCCCCCCCCCCCGGATTGGGAATTTCTGGTTTGAAAAGAAGCTTTTGGGGAACCAAAAAAATTCAGGACAAACTCCCAATGGGGGGGTTCAAAGGGGTTAAACCCGTTTTCGAATTTGGGATGGAAACCACCTTTTTTGGTGGGGGGGAAAAAAAAAATCGAGAAAAGCTTTTAACGGAAAGGTTCGAATGGGTTCAAACCCCCTGAATTGGTGGGAGGGTTGGCTTTTTTTAAAAAAGAACAAATTTTAAAAAAATTCCCGTGGAGGAAAAGAGGGGGAGAAAGGCCTGGGAGAAAAAATTTTAAAGAAAGGCCCCCCCCCCCCCCCCTCCGGGGAGAAATAAAACCCTTGGGTTTTTTTTTTGGAAAAGGAAGGGGGGCGGAAAAAAAAAAAACCGGGGT